TTGGGCTTTTTGCAAGTCACTTTAAAGTTTAATTAGCGCTCTAGTAAAATGTGTCACGGAATATTCTGCCTGCGATCAATCACAAGTACGTTCTGTTTTGTGTTTACCTATGCTGAGCGTGAAAATGGGGAGAAGAGTTACTTAAATTTTGTCTGTTATTTTTCTCCTCTGCTCTTCACTAGTCCAGTTACCACAGCCGTCATCCAAAGAGGAACTCTGAGAAAAGGCTGTGTTCTGGTTGCAGGGAAGACCTGGGCAAAGGTGCGTTTCATGTTTGATGAGAATGGCAAAGCTGTAGATGCAGCCTCTCCAGGCATCCCAGTGGAAATCATGGGCTGGAAGGAAGTCCCTTCGGCAGGAGATGAAATCCTTGAAGTAGAATCTGAGGTACAGAAAGAACTGTTTAATGGAAAACTTAGACTGCGGTAAGGTGGATGGGAAGGAGTTGAGTAAAAAACAAGTGATAGCTTTCATTCTAAATAACCCAGATAATGGGATGAAAGACAAAGGGTCATAACATGGGTATTAAGAGACCTGAGCTAGGCGTTCTGTAAGAGGAATGAGGATTTGCATATTGACTCTTTATTTTCCACTGCCCCCACCTCTCCCCAGCGGACTGTCCTCTCCTCGTCTCCATGCATCCAGGTTAACCTGCTTTACAGTCACATGAAGAAAGCAGGCTGCCTCTGGAATTAAAGATTAGTCACCTTTGGTTCATGCTTCTGCTTCTGATGGTCATCCTGCCTTCCTCCATGCTTTGTTTGCAATGACTGCAGTCCTGAATGGCTTCTGCTGGGGTAATCTGGGATGTGTTCTAACATGTTCCCTTTCTAAAGGCACAGAAGACTTCCCTTTTATATGATCGTGCTATCACCCTACCTGGAGAACAATCCGGTACTTAATGGTATCAGTGTTTTAATTTTAGAATGAGAGAACTAGTTTCTGACAAAAGAATATGCATAAAATATAGCTTGAAATAGGTGTTGTGACAGCTGGACAAATACCACATGAAAGAATGAACAATAATTCTCTTCTGCAGTGCAGAGACCATAAAAATAGGCCTTGAGTCATGTTGTTGTAGCCGAGGGAGGAAGCTAGCGTGCTCATTCTCTGCCATCCTTGCAGCAAAATCTGTTGTTAAATGTGAAAGAAAATGAGTGAGAGATGCAAAAGGATGAAACTGCATTAATGTGGAGTTTTCTGATGCGGTGCTTTGAAAGGTAATGTTTCTGTCTCTTCCTGCCCAGCAAAGGGCGCATGAAGTTGTGGCTTGGAGAACCTATGTTGAACAACAGGAGAGGATGAAAAGGGATGTGGAAGTTATTGAAGCAAAGCAAAAGGAGCACAGGATGGATTATGAGAAGAAGCAACAGAAGCTAGCCCATCTGACCTGGAGACAGAGGAAGGCGGTGCTGTACAAGGCCAATAAGCACCTTATGTTTTCAAAGCCTAAAGAGAGAACAGAGATGGACAAAAACGTGCTATCGGTAATTGTTAAAGGTGCTGTCCTATTCTGTTTACTGCTCCATTGTTTTTGTGCTTCTCAAATGCTCAGTCTGAAGCATAGCTCTAAACTATCAACAAAATTTCTTCTACCAGAAGTTTGATCAGTTTAAAACTGAAGAGATTATTGAACTTCTCTCAGTAAGGGGAGGGACATCAGAAAACATCCAGTGGTCAGAAGGATGCGCTTCCCGCAGGGCCAGAGCAACAGGAAAATTCAAGCCCAACCCCTTCACCCAGGAATTCCTGAGTAAAACCCGTACAAGTTCCTCTCTCTCTCTCTCTGTAAATTAAAAAATACGTATTAAAAAAAAAAAATACCAGCTATATGAGCATCAGCATTATGGAGTACTGCATCAGCAAAATGGAGGACAAGAACAATTATGTATGTTAAAGCGGGACAGGAGGAACTTGGTCTGAGCTCACATTTAGTGATATATAAGCAGTGACAGTAGTAACTGAAAAACTATGCAAACTTGACCTGAAAATGACAGCAGACGTGGAGCCTCTGGTCCTACTGTATTTATTCAGTTCATTTTTGCAACTAATAGGCTTGTTAGCTGTGTTTTAACATACTATTGAAAATATAGTAAGAATGATAGGTGTCAAAAGACTTTATGTTGCATAGTGTGGAGTTGTCATTCCCTTAGTTCTACTTCCGTGTTTCTTTGATGTATACAAAGTCAGCAGTGCTGCCATTTTTACACGCAGGTGATGTGGATGGATCTGTTGAAGCTATTCTGAACATTCTGGACAGCTATGATGCTGACGGGGAATGTAAATTGGATATCATTCATTTTGGAATGGGAGATATCAGTGAAACCGATATAAATCTTGCTGAAGCATTTAATGGTGAGTGTGTTTTTAAAAATCAATTTACGATTAGTACAAACTCTTCATTGAAATGGGTAGGTCTCATTCTGGTTTTGTTTTCTCGATAGTAATTAGCAGCATCAATAAGGTAGACTTACATGTATCTCAAAAACGTTTCCTTTAACATCAAACAGGAGTGCAGGCGGGGAAGGCTAGAAATCTCATGGAGATGGAAGGACTCTTGACAAGCTGTTGCCAGCAGTGGAATTGTTAAGGTTGAACTCCTGACTCTTCACTCGGGTTGCTTTATGATGCTCAAACAGGGCAAAGCTAGAAAAGAATTCCCTTTTGCTCAGGGAGGTAATTGGAAAGACCGTGTCAGTAGTTGTTCCTGTTCGTACACCGTAATTCTCACCTGCTGTAGACGGTGTGGGGTCATTGGTCCTGCCATAGTCCACAGTCGGATGAGAATGATTTAGAGTTCACTTCCAGCTTAATTTGGACAACCGAGCTGGTTTTTCCAGCCCAAAAATGGGAGGTCCTTGTCCCTTTACGTAAGCTCTGGTGAGCTGTGTGTAAGCTTTAGTTTCTGCTTGGATACCTCCAGTTCTGTCATCGGGGAACTTTCTCTGAGGGCTTTTTTGAGCCATTTGTTTTGATACAAGGTTAGTAGCAGTCGATGTGCAGTAGTGGGAGAAGTAGATGGTCCCTCCTTAAAAGGGAAGCAGTGGTAAAATACTGTTTCTTGTTTTGCTGACCGCTAATTCTAACCTGTGCTGGAAGTTCAACATTACAGAACAGACACAGCAGATGCTTTCGCTTACTGTTTAAGGAGTGATCTCTTGCAGTCATCACTTGCCGATCGTTTTATTTATCAGGTGTTATATTTGGATTCAGCGTGAAAGCAAATGAAAGTATTAAACAGCTGGCTGCTAAGAAGGGAATAAAAATTAAACTTCACAATATCATCTACAAACTTATTGAAGACTTGAAAGATGAGCTAAATAGCAGGCTACCCCCGTCTGTGGTGGAGAATACAATGGGTGAGTTTTCATTGACTGTTAAATTTTTGCTTCGCAATGTGGCCAAAAGTTCATTCTCCAATGAAGTGTCCCTATTGTATCAAATATTTTATATTCCTCTGTAGCTGCTTTTGTGTTTTGTTATAAAGCTCAGTAAGTGGAAGAGTGTAGCTTGCTTCTACTTACTGCCAGTTTGTTATTCTCATGTACTTAATACAACTTCACTTTTTTGTTTTAGGGGAAGCTTCTGTTCTAGACATCTTCTCTGTAACAGTAGGAAAAAACAAAATTCCAGTAGCTGGATGCAGAGTACAGAAGGGGCTGCTAGACAAAAAAATGAAATTTAAGTTAATCCGTAAAGGGGATGTTATTTGGAGAGGTAAGTGTAATTGCCACAAAACACGTATTTGCGTTCCGTATTAGACACGGCTAGTTCCCCGTGAAGTTAGTGCAAAATGCACGCATCTGCTCATAGGGCAGTCCCATATGCTCTTGAGCCCCTATGCTATTGAGGATGGAGCTGCTCCAACTAGAGAAAAGCTGCAAAACGTCACTGTACTGTTATCCAGACCTTTTTCTAACCACCAACTCTGGTAGGAAAGCAGTAGCATCACAGGACTTACCTGCTGAAAAGGACTGATGTCTGACTGTCACTAGCTGCAAGTGCTCACAATCCCTACGTTTTCTTGCTTTCATTTTTGTAGCTACAAGGTGAAACATTAATTCTGTAGGAAGGGCAAACCAAAACCCTTCTATGCTCTGATGTTAGTGGGCTCTTTCTTTGACGCACTTCCTCTTTGTAGGATCATTATCATCACTGAAGCATCATAAAGATGACGTCCAGGTAATAAAAACGGGTATGGATTGTGGATTGAGTTTGGACAAATACATAGAATTCAGTATTGGAGATGAAATTATCTGTTATGAAGAAAAAGAAGTTCAACAGACAACTTCCTGGGATCCAGGATTTTAAAATACATTTTGAATACATTAACACTAAAGGACATGTATTATTCCTGGCTGGCCTTGAACTCTTAACATTAAATGAACTTTCAGAGCTGCATGTGAGCTTCTTTATGTCCGATGTTCATATAACAATGTTCTGCTTTTAAATCTTCTCAAGCAACCAGCTGACCTCACTGGGACATGGGATAAACTACAATTAATTGCAAGCACTTCAAGTGTCTAAAACCATCACGGTATAAACACTTCCGATAACTGACTATTGGTTCCAAAATAGCCAAGCCATCTTTTTTTCTCCCCCTCAGTGCTGCTGTACAATTTTTCAGTACGTAGTCTGCATTTTGTTAGCAGGACTCTACTACCCTTTTCTCTAGCATGGACCCACTTGTAGACATGACTTTGGACCTCTTGATCTCCTGTTTTTCTGGATTTGAACTACTGTAGTGTCTACTCCTCCCATGTTTAAAGAGACCACTTCTAAGGTTAGCTAGTGTTGTGGTTTTTTTTCCTCTGCCATTGCTACCCATTATCTCCTTTGAAGGAGGCTTAACTAACCAAAGCCACTCTTTAAAAGAAGTTGCTGCTTCAGTTCCAGAGTCAAAGTATTTCATCTTAGTTGGCAGTCAGCATCCAGAGTTTCACAGATTTTTCTCGCTTATCAGCAGAGAGGAAATACAGTGCCACAGGAAGCAGAAATAAATCCTTAAACCGTACAGAACTTCAGATTTTTATTGTCTAGTACATTTACTTGTCTTCTGGTTTATTGAAGCAGTATGTCAGACAGCACTTGCCACAATAGTGTCTGTCAAAGTGACTAGCCATGAAGACTCCAGCTCCACACTCCTCAGAGGGGCACTCCCGGCGCAGACGACTGATCTTGCCGTTCTCATCCACCTGGGAAGGGCAAAGAAGCAACATCTCATATATACTCGGCACCTTTTAGCACCGATGACAATTTTGGCAAAGTAGCTTTCGTGATAGTGACTACATCAAACTTCCTGAAGCAAAGTTCAGAAGTACCCAATTGCAACAGTCAGTTTCTCTTCTATTTAACAGGTGGGATATTTGCAAATAGAAGGACTTTAAATACGCCAGGCTACATGCAGACTAGTTGCAGGCTTCACATCCTTCCTGGTGAGAGCTAAGTTTTCATCAAGTTTCTCCTAGAATTAGTTCTACATACCTTGTAGTACTTCAGCACTGCAAGCTTAACCTTCTTTCTCTTATGCTTGTTCTTCTTGGGAGTAGTGTAAGACTTCTTCTTTCTTTTCTTGGCACCACCACGAAGTCTCAGCACAAGGTGAAGAGTTGACTCCTATTTGTAAAGCATGTGAAATAGACTCAAAAGGCTTTCTCAAGACAAGAGTAGCATTTAAGCAGGCTTTTCTTTTATCTACGGAAAGTAGATCTCAAGCACCAGGCAATTAGGAAAGCTCTGAAAGGATTATTCACTATTAAGTCTGCACATGAACAGGCTCCAGAGAACAGTGGGCTGCTGCATCCCAAACCCCGGAAGGTGCAATTACTGTAAAATCTGTTGTGACTATATTCCTCAGTTCTAACTGCAACTGCAGAATAGTTTCACGATGTAGCTAAGCCGACCCGACAGCTATTTGTTGCTCCTCCTCTCTAGTGGCACTCCCTGGCCTCGCTGTCAGGTTAACCTGGCAGAAGTGAGCGGGATTTTTCACGTTAGCCCCCTAAAGCAGCTCACCAGAGTGCCAAGTGCCAGGGCTGACAGAAGGGAAGCGCTGGAAGTGGAAGCTGTTGGAAATGTTTTCTTCTGACCTGAAACTACGGACTGGGCTGCAGCAACTGTCAGGTCTACTCCTAGCATCAGTACTTCCCCAGTCAGAAGTGCTACCCAATCCTCAATCGATTGGTTTGGTTGAATCTATGTGAAGCGTTTCTTAGGCTCAACAGCAAAGGTCAGTCTGCTCCAACAGCGCCAGCTAGCTGGTACCACAACACTCTGTTCAGCCTTTCCTACTCACTTTTTGAATATTGTAGTCAGACAGCGTGCGTCCATCTTCTAGCTGCTTACCAGCAAAAATCAGTCGCTGCTGATCAGGAGGAATGCCTAATGGTGACATAAATCAAGATGAAACGGGGAATGTGAACTAGGACATTCTGTAATAAAATAATACATTGCTGCAGACAATCACATCTGCATAAGATACGCATCGATCCAACAGAGAAGAGCATACTAACTGCATCTTGAACTTACCTTCCTTATCCTGGATTTTAACTTTTACATTTTCTATGGTATCAGAAGGCTCAACCTGTTATGAAACAAAACAACGGAGTCAAAACGCACTTTGCCTTTTAATTTGCCCAGAAAAGCAGAAGAACCACGAGGCGCTTTAGGCACACCACCTATGCTGTCACGGCCATTTCGGGCTCCCACGGGGCAGCCAGCTCCGGGCGCAAAGGCGCCGGGCGGCGGCAGGGCCCGCGTTTCTCCGCG